CGCGAACAGATGAGGGGAGGGGACACACATCAACTTACGCGATACCACTAGACCCAATCCATGATTGTGACATGGCAGTGTGATAGCTCAGGCATTCCCAAAGTGCTCTTCTTCCTTTTTTCTTTACCTGGTCCTTGGCCAGGGGAAAGGGAGGGGGCGTGCGTTCAGGCGGTTGATGTGTCGGTATGCTGGTTCAAGAGGTCTAAGTGTTGCACCGAGAAAATCGCCCGACGGACTTGAAAAGGTGGTCCCTGTCTGGCAATCCCGGTCCTCGTGTATGTACATGCCTGCGTCAAGTATGCAGAGGATATCGATGGGCAGTGTCCAGGTCTTGGGGCAGGCAAGGCATCCTATGTTCGGACCAACCAGGTGGGAGGATTGAGCAGGCGCTTGCGACCAACGAACATCTAGATGCGCCACATTACCCAAGATCCTTGCTGTTTGCGCTAATTTAATTGAGGAGGGAAAAGCAAAGAACGGAGTTTGAACCAACGAGAAAGAAAAGCAAAACACGGCGTGGGCAAACTGGATCATGAGACTGGGAGTAACGCGACGATGCAATATGTGCAATGACTAAATCAAGCATCAGCAGCACCGAGATGCGTGTGGGGTCGGGCTTCGTTGCTTCCACTCTCACTCCTGGGGCTGATCAGGCTGTCAAATCACCAAGTCGGATGAAGGTCTAACGCCACCGGCGACCCCAACATTGCCTACCAGTAGTGCGGGCGGAGATAGAGAGTCTCCTTCTAGGCCTGGAGGCGGGTTGGGTCGGGTTTCTTTGCGCATACACGACGATGGTGTCAGAAATTCGGTGTAGCTGCACGTCGAGACGCGATACTTGGCTAGGTATGCCGTTACGTGTGCAAAGCATCTGATCATCGCGGTCGCCCCGCGGAGTTGTCAGGATCGAGGAGAGTCATATCAAGAATCAAGTTTTAGGTACCAAGACACGATGACCAGTCACCACAACCTGCGAAGCTATCATATGCACGGATTTCCCAATGTTCTCAGGCACATGCTCACCGCAGGAGGAAGAGGAAGGGAAAATGCAGATAACAATAATGCAAGCAGCAGGCGAAGGCGGCTGCAATTGGTACTGGTCGCAGTTGTAGGGTAGGGTCGGGGTCGGGGGATTTGTGGCGCGCTAATGCCTGTGAGACTGCGACTGTGTTGTGCGAAAGCGCAGCAGACAGCCAATACGGGCGGGGCGCCAGGGACCAGGGTGCCCCATCGTCACCTTTCACATTTTCAGATGATTGAATGGCTGGCTGGACTGCTACAGGTCTCGCCTCCCATGCCAATTGACCAGAGGGAACTACTACCTTGGACGGAGGCATGGCTGCATGGATGAGACATTGCAAGCAGAAAGTACCTCAGGATTTACCCTCCACCAACCCAACAGCCTCTAGCCATATCCTTGACCGAATTGACATTTCCTCGAACCCACTCAGGCCCGTTGCTCAACCAGCTTAGCAAGCAGCGAGTTGGCCCCACCGCATTTGGCCGTGTGGCTCGGCTCCTCGGGATTTGCGACGATTTGCACGGCAGCCCCCGTCCAGACCTCCACACAGGCGGGAAGCCAGTAGCCTAAAACGGGAGCAGCGACGAAATTGGAAGGGCAGAAGGGGGTCGGTCTCAAGCATGGAGGACACAGCGGAAAGAGGAGGACTAAGGCTATCGGAGATTGCCTACACAGCCTACGGATCTCGCGCGTTAGCCAGCAGAGAATTAATTCAAATGCCATCACACCCTCAGACATTGGGTGAGACGCTCAGTCGCCAATGATTGGCTGTGTCTCTTCGTTACCAGGTTGTTGATTGGCTGTGTCTCATTCGTTACCAGGTTGTTGATTGGCTGTCTCCCTCGTTACCAGATCCCCGGGTCCAAATGGAGGAAATGGCAGGGGGAAGGGGCAAGATGGAATGTGAACGAGGCGAAGCACATATGTATGCGGTTGCGTCGAATATGCAGGCAGGCCACCAACAAAGTCAGACACTGCACCAAGCGAAGTGGTCCCCGATAAGACGCAATCTTAGCCGCACTAGTGGCAGCTAATGACCAACAGTCTACGAGACCACGAGGGCCTCTGGGGCGCCCTGTGCATTGCGCAGTGGTGGTCTGGGTGTTGGCTGCAGATCAGCCGGGACCGGTATGGAAGCACTCGACTCCTTGGTCGTCGGTCGGCCAGAAAGGGCGGACGCAGCTAAGAGACACGGCACGTAGCGCCTTGGTACCCCTCTTCTCGCGCACGCATGCACACACACCGTACAAGCGAGCACACACATTCTCTCTCTTGACTCTCTCCCACACACACAGAACCGAGGAGGCTTGGGGCGACGGTGGGAAGGTTGTGCTGCTTGGCTTGATGGCTGGCGACCACGAACCAGGAACTTCCAGATTGGGCCACGGGGTCGGTCACGTTTCCCCGCGCCCTGCTAAAATTGCGTAGGGCGTTCCACAGCCTGTCAACAGGGACGAGCCCTACAGGCACGACCTACCCACATTCCCACTTGGCACGTATAGCGGCTCCGTGTCACCATTTTCTCCACGGCGGACTGGCCTGTGTTACAGTTGCCCAACTAACGGTGAGGACCGGGGCCCTACAGGGCGACCAGGGTCAGAGGGCAGAGGGCAGAGGGCATCTGGGAAATCTTGCGCCATTCTAGGCTGCCCAGCACTACGCGTAGGGCATAGCGGCATCGCATCGCAGATGCCAAGGAGCGTCGTAGCGTTTTAGCGCATGCTTGGGCTTGGAGGCGCCACAAAACGTACATTACCCTCCATCCCCTAACACCGAGCTCGGGCTTCTTTGCTTTTTAATCGTAGGCTAGGCTCATGTAGGTCCGTTTTGGTTGATGCTGGGCGGAGCAGGGGTCCAAGGTGACTCGCCCGTGCATCGAGCCGGGGAGCTACGTGCCACCAGCCCGCCAGGTGCACCCGCTCGAGGCAGTTGGTGCTTCCGGATTGAACAAATTTATCAGATCATCACATCCGTCGCATCCTTCATTCCTACGCTGACGTGGAAGAGACAAGAGGCCGACCGGGCTGGGAGAGGGATCAAGCCTTGCCTGGTAATCTCCTCTCGATTGATTAACATGTTTGAGACAGGGTCTAATGTGACCGATGCAGCGCAACACACCACCCTGACTGGTACCCCGACGTAATGAGAGCATGCCTGGAATCCATGCTTTCGAATTGGCTATCGGAGATTTTGCGCTAGCGGCTGAGGCGCTGCGTGCGCGCCGCTGGCCCGTGCGCGATTTGGGGGATGTGGGCTGCCCACCCGTCTTCAGCCTCTTGCGCTGCTGTGGTCGGCCTGCATGGTTATCGATCAAGCGCAGCTGCCCGCACTCTGCCCTCGGCCCTCGAGATGTCCGTGACTCACTGACCTGGCCCGTGCCCTTATCGAACCTGAGCAGCGGCAGCCGTTGGCCATCTCGTGACTCCACCTGCCCCAGCAACCAGCCTCCTGTTGGCCCAAGCAACGATGGTCGTCTTCGCATCCCCACTTTTCGGCAGTTGGGGAGCAAACGACCTGACGTATGCCCTCGCCCGAGTAAACAAGCCCTCTCTAGCCTGTGTTACCGTGTGGTGTAGGGCTTGCTGCGTGTAGTATAGCACTCCCACCATGTTTTCAGGCCCCGATACCCCTGTCGATGCGCTTGTATGAGCTGAGTCTAGCACGTTGGCAACTTTGGCATTTGCAAGACCTCTCGAGCCTCACCCAACTCCACCAGCGAAACGTTAATCTTGACGTCGACCGCTAGTAGGGCCTGAGGCTGCGCACTCAATTCGAATCCACCGGCCCAATTGGAGGCGGGCGGCTGCATTGGGTATCATGCACGCACTCTGGCCACACACCTCACCCTCACTTCACCTCCTCTCACTTGCGTCTCACTTTGCGCCCTCTGCTCTGCACTCACATGCATTGATTGCCTATTGAATGACTCTTGCCCAGCAGATTGAGGGCGACCGGTGGCTGGGGGGTCCCCACCCGCTCTCGTGAAGGCTGCGCTCCCCGCGTGTGATTGGCCGCAGGGCAGTCTGATCACCTCTACTCACGGCAGATGTACCCTCGTGCCCAGCAAAAGGAAAAGCCGTTCCCCACCATGTCTTGGCGTTATGCCCAAAACGGCCCCGCCCTATCTAGCCGCCAAGCGTTGGTCCGACCGCACATGCTTCTGCAGGATAGTAGTAGTACCAGAATAATCATCCTGATTTCGTCACACCAAAATATACCCGTAGACCAGGGCCCGGCTTGGGGAGGACGACAGGAATCCTGCTTTGGGCTCTGTTGGCCGCTTGGGCCCCAAAAGTGCTGTGTCCCATTTCGCTGCAACTCCACCAGCTGAATATTACATGCTCCGTATTGTTGCATCTGTCGGTAACCAATCGCTGCTCCAATACTACGATCCCTGGTCCCAAAGTCCCTCCTCGCACTCTCTGGGTCTCATTAATTCTCTCAGGTCGAGGGGAGGCGCCCTCGCTGTGTCGGGCGCGCCAGGTCTAGCGAGCCGGTTGGGATGGATGGTGTCTTGCTCGGGGGGCTTCAAGGTGTTTCAAACAAAACTTGCGATTTTTTGGAGTAGAGTACCTATTGGGGACTAACTTTAGTAGCTGCCTAGTTCTCATTCATTCCTTTCATCCATTTCTCGAGTCCATTGCCAGGCTCCATTACTTTCGAATTCGGTGCCAAAGTCCATGACTCAAATCCATTGCCAAAGGCCAAATAAATCACCAATGAACTTCTCGCATCTGAAATAAACGAGTGTCCTGTACTCCCAACTAAAAAACGAGCAAAACCTAAATCCTAATAGTGAAATTCATCCCCGTTGTCGGAGATTGTGTAGTCGACCTAGAACACAGAGTGGAACTCCTTGGTTGAACCAAAGGAGGTGCTGTCGGTGAGTCCAGAGGCTGAAGCAGTGTTAAGGCTTGGACTGAGGAAGCTCGGTGACGGAAAGGCGTGGTTGACTTACTTCACACTCGAAGCCTGAGGATTACTGTGGGTTGTACCCATTGTTGAACCCATTGCCAAAGAATTGGGTCCAATTGCCATCTGCGTTGGATGGACCAAATGAATTTGGTGAAGCCGAGGTGAAAGCAATGGTGTTCTCAGTGTTCTCCCCCATTGGAGGGAGGAAGTTACCATTCATTGGCCAGTTGTTTCCAGTTGTGGATGGAGATGCAACAGACATGGGAGACTGTTGAATACCGTTTTGCTCGCTTGTGACAGCCGGCTGGGGATTGGTATGGTCCATGAGAGGGCCAAAATTTTGGCCAGAATGGGAGGGGGCGGGCATGGAGGCTGATGTACCGCCAATGTTCTGGGGCACTGCATAGCTTGTAGGACCAGTAATGGGGATTCCATGTCCGAACTGGCCATGGGGTTGCGCTGGCTGCTGCTGGGGCGCAAAGGCCGTTGGGAAGAATGTTCCAGGTGGATTGTTGTTCGCTGGGGGTTGATTGGAGTTTCCGGTCTGAGGAGAGGCTGTGAACAGTTAGCTTTGAATACTTGCGAATTCTATGATTTAACTCACAAGAGGGCATGTCATAGATGAAGTCCTTGCAATTATCTCGAATCTCTTCTTCGGTTGAACAAGGGCGAAGAGAGTAGTAGACTGCCTCTTCTTCACCCATTATATACACGAAGCGGAATACGCCTTCGGATTCATTTTCGACGACCCAACGGCCACCGGGACGGGGCTCAAGTGCTTTCAACGCAGACTTCGGGATCGCAGTGACCAGACGTGGGCCTGGAGGAGGTCCATAGGCGGCAGCGGATGATGAAGGAGCTGACATAGTGGTGCAGTAGAGGTTGTTCTGGGGATATGAAACGAGAAGATGCGTTGTTTTGGAAAAGAAGGTTAGAATGTAAGAGATGGGGAGGCGATCAAGTTATATAATTAAGGAGAAGAGAGGTCGCGATTGAAAAAGAGAAGAGATGGAGGAGAGAAAGTAAGGTAGTGGATTGGTGAGGGGGTGGGGCTATGAGTGTGTACACAGTACTGAGGTACCTACGTACTTAGGGAGCAAGCCTGTCATATCTTCACTTCAAACTGACATGCAACTGTGAGGTGACGTGTACCGGTGCAGGTACTTGATATGGCTTTTATTGGGCGGGGTAGCCGAAACGGTGTCGCCCCTTGTCGAGGTGTCTGGTAAGGTTTGATGCAGAGCTGGTACGGCCAGTTAGTAACCGCTAATCTTTTGGCCCACAGGAGCTGAATACTGGACTCCCTTTTTGATGGATTGCGAGATTCTCGAACATCAAAGCGAATCATGAGTATGGTTTGGCGCCCGCTTAGTCTGCCAATGGCCCTCATGTTGTTGGAAGTTTTGGTAGGGTGTGATCAATTTACGAAGATGACTCTCTCTCTCTACTTGGAGATAAGAAGTGCTTGTTCCAATTTGATCAATATCTCTACAGGTACTAGAGGTACCTACTCTGTAATACTTGGCAGATGTCTTTTTCTTTGCCTCTACTGCGTCCTCCCCTTTTGCGTTCAATGGTGGATGGAAATCACCAACATTGGCAGCGAAGAGATAGAATTTCAGTTGAAGATCGAGCTATGTCTAGCTTTGGAAAATTCAGGTTTGCTTTTATGAACTGGGCCATTCGCAATACTTGTCGTGAGATAACAACCAGCGGCCTTTGGATGAGCGCACATACACATCAAAATGGAATCGCCATCCTATCATAATCTACTTCACTAGAAAGCCGAGTGTGCTCTTAGCAGACATGGATGGAATCCAAAAGAATATTATGGATTGTACAGCCTTGACGACCAGGCCTGCCCCGATTGCTCCCACGTCGCGGTAGCTGGGCAACGTGTGAGGTGTAGGCGACGAGGTCTGCCAGTTGGCAACGGTGGAAGAGGCGGTAGCATTCCACCTTGGTGTCAACTTTTAGGGGAGCACACCTGCGTAGCCAGGGCGACGGCACGTGCATTATCAAAGTGATGGGGAGGTGACAATTGTTGGTCTTCCTCAATAAATCCCCAGCCATTGACCTTGGTCAGCAAAAGAAAGCCCTGCTCCACCCACCTATATATTCCCCCCCTCCTCTTTCCCAAACTTTCTTCCCCTTCTCCTCCTCCATCACACACATTCCAATCTGAAACTCACTCTTCAATCCTCAAACAATTTCTTTGGACCTCGCGTCATCTTTTCATATTCCCACCACAACAACAACCAAGCTCCTGATCGTTCATCATGAACCATCAAGCTACCGTTCCCCCTCTTGGAACTTTCCAGCCCCAGGATCAGCCAAGCATGGAGGCCATCGCTTCTTCTGCCTGGGCCATGCTTGAGACCCAGGTCACGCCTTTTACTGAGGTTATGACCATTCCTGGTGAAATCTTCCGCGCTCTTGATGCTGGTGGCAAGAAGTTCATTGCCAGAAACTTCATGTGAGCTCCTCGCGCCCTCCAAATACTTCCACATCTAACTTTTTCAGGTCCTACATTGGCAAGAATGTCCTGTACTGCCGTGATGGCACAGGCACTGATCGCTACTTTCTTGGCAACCCTCGCAACTTCCTTCGAGGCGGCGGTGTCATCGTCACTGTCAAGGGCACTGAGCCTTTTTGGATGATCCGCAGCAACACCACCATTCTTGAGGCTGCTGCTGCCCACCTTGGAGTCAACGTTGCTCCTAAGGAGAAGAAGATTCCCCGTCCCCCCAATGCCTACATCCTCTACCGCAAGGAGCGACACAACTTGGTCCGTGATGCCCACCCTGGCATTACCAACAATGAGATCTGTAAGTACCTCCAGTCTTAAACACGCAATATTTTCTAACAATGTATAGCCCAAGTTTTGGGTGCTGCCTGGAACGCCGAGTCGCGCGAGGTCCGACAGAAGTACAAGGAGATGTCTGACAAGATCAAGAAGGCGCTGTACGAGCAGCACCCGGACTACCAGTACAGACCTCGTAAGCCATCCGAGAAGAAGCGACGTGGTCGCCGCACCGCTTCTACCGATGAAGAAATTGAGCACGACTCGGATGAAGTCGCTCAGCCTTCATCTGCCGATTGAGCTCTCGATCGGAGAACCAGAAAGTTTCTGGCGCATGGCGACACAGCCTGCTTGGGCCTCTACTCCGGGTCCTTTGAACCAACTACTACCAGGTTTTGTTTTTTTCTTTTTTGACTTTTGATTTTCATTCAGGAAGACGCGGTTTGGTATTTGAACCAACCAATGAAGCCTGGACGGATGACATGATATCGCATGGGAACTGGGAAGAAAACCCAATGAACGCTATTAATCACTTTGTTTACTGAAATTTCAGCAACGGAAACAGGTGTTCTCATTTGAATTCCAGTTGAATTTGCGAGAAAAACTCAGATAGGATCGGTCCTCAGTTAGTTACCTGGTAGTTAGTTTTAAAAATAAAATCATCAAGAGTGTTATACTCACCAAATGCCTGTTTATTTCACGAGAATATCTGTGACGAACCCACTCCTACCCCAAAAAGCTGTCTCTGGCCTCAAGCCAAGCTCCCCGCGCAGAGTGAGCCCAAGCTCAGCTACAGCTCAGCTACAGCTCACTTTGCTGGGGACTCGAGGGACGGGCGAGGCAGGAATGTGCGCGCTGGGGCTCGATCACCGCCCAACCCCGCACCGACTGCGATCGTGGACTAGATCCCCGACGGTGAGAAAGAAGCACACTGGAAGCCCAAGAGAAAAGCAACTTTCTACTAACGCGAGGTGGGAAGCAGGGGGGTCGGACGTGACAGCAAGTCCTAGGGAGACAAGAGACAAGATACTGATGTATGTTCTGCTGGTTTCGTGTGACACACTTGATGCAGACGGCCAAATTTGATTCACATTTACTCTGAACGCATGAAAGTCTAGTCTGAGCTACCTGGCATTGAGACATTCTTCCTCCAGTCGCTACTCCAGATAAACGTTCCACACCTCCACTCCGAGTCCTTCTCCTTCTCCCCACTTGGCCCAAGCGGACGCGGGCACATATAGAATGATCTTCCTGTTGGTGATAGGTTAGCACGTGTGGTAGGTATACTCGATATGGGGGTGTGAGGAGAAATGCGGGCAAGATGGAGGGGAGTGCGCGATGGCTGCAGAGCGCAACAGGAAAAGGGGGACAAGGACCAAGGTACCAGGGGAACAAGTCTCGAGGGGAAGATGCGCCTTACCGCAATTGACGCCGGGCTTCTTGGTCACAAGGCTGATGCAGGGCTCGTTGTGGTTGCACCGGGGCACGACCCGCTTGCCCAGCAGCTTTGACCACGACTCCTTTGCCTCGATTGGGTCGAATACTCTTTCGGGCGATGGGTTGGCCGAGTTGAGCTGAGATGGCTCGGGCGTTTTCTGAGGACCATCCTTGGGTAAGGTCTCAAATGATGGTGGTGAGACTACTGACTTGGCGTTGGGACTACGAGCCTCCTTTGTTATTGATGTTGGAAGTGGCTGGGCGGACGTGATGGACTCAGCGTTGGACTGTTCCGCGGTCCCCTTGGCCTTATCGCTGCTAGTAGCCTTGAAGAAGCCTGCCAACGTCATTTGACCAGAGCCTGACTTGCTCTTCGAAGTGGCGCTGGCCCCCGAGGCTAGCTTGGGGCGTTTGGATTTCGCCAGCACGTTAGGATCTCCCACTTTCCGCTTTGACATGGAAGTTTCCATAGTGTCCTTCTTTCCTATGGCGTTTTGGGATAGTTCTCCTTTCCGTTCGGGCTCTGTGTTGATGGCGCCTGGGCCTTCGGAGCCAAGACTTGGCAAGTTTAGCGAGTCTAGCTGGGAATTGCGGTCGACGCCGCTGCTCTCACTTGACGAGCCTTGTTCATTCAGCTCAGGGGGAGCCAGACCGGCGAGCTGAGACCGTTGCCGGGAAAACATGTCTCGAATGCTTCTTCTGCGGTCAAACTCAGGGATCAACCTCGCGGAAAGTGGCAAGACGTCAGTCGCGGCCCAGCTCCGTTCGCGTCTTCCCTTGACGAACATGCCAGGCGGGTTCACAATATCATGAATGAACTCACGCTCTCCATTGACTGTGCGGTCAAAAGACATCGCAACATAGACGGGGCAGTGATCAGATCCCATGAGACCTTCTTGGATGTCGGCATACGTGACCCATTCTTGGACGCCATTGGTGCAGAGAACGTAGTCAATGCGGCTGCCGAAGTTGGCTGGCCGAGTGTTCTTCTTGGTGTCCCAGCAGGTGTTCATCCCTTGCCTGTTCGGGTGGAAAGATCTGCAAACATCTGTCAGGACGGGGTGCTCGCGGCCTTCATCACGATCACCCCTGACTTGTCCCCCATGGACGAGCTGGTTGAAGACTCGGCGAGTTGGCGCCTCGAGCCAATCCTCGATATTAATGCCTTCTCTCTGGAGCAGTTCGGGGGTTCTGCTGGTATCGATGGTAGACGCAACGATATTTAGGTCACCCGCCACGACGACCTCCTTTCCGAGAGCAACGAGGTTGCGTATTCTTATATCAAGTGCCTCAACAAACTCGATGCGGAAGTCATCTCGGGTCTCATCTCGATTGGCTGGGCAGTACACTCCAATAAGAACGAACGCGGGAAATTCGAGAATTACACATCGACCTTCAGAGTCGAGAGTCGCCTCGTCCACCCTGCCCGTGAGCTGGCCGGGCGTTGGGTAGCCTCCGATGCGCTGATCCTCTGGGAGGTCTCGGTAGCTTGTGGTCGATCTGGGGGCAGAAATGCAGCCTGTGATGCCCTCCTCGGCGCGGATGGGTGCACATGTGGCGTTGCGGGTGTAGATGGCTACGCCTGAGTAGCCTATGTGATTATCATTAGCATGTTTCGGCAACGAATGGACGTCTGAATGCTGCTTAGAGTTCAGACATACCTTTCTTGTCCTTGGGCAGACTGAAGTAGACATCCCAGCCGGAGATTAGAACCATCTCGTCGCTCAGGTCTTTCTTCTGAATCTTGGTTTCCTGCATGATGACAACGTCGGCCTCGAGGATGTTGAACATGTGCTGTTGAGCAAACCGTCAGCCCAATTGACCTCCGTGTGTAAGTGCGTAATCGTGCAACTGACCTCAAATGTCCGCTTGGAGCTCCATGGCTGGTAGGCAAACGGATTCCTGATGAGAAATGATTCGTAAGACTCAGACGCATTGCTTGTCTTGATGGCGATTGTACTTGCCTTATTCCATTTACTACGTCATGATTGTCAGGCTAGCATATCCCACGACACGGAGAGAGGAGGGGCCAAACACTCACCATTCCAAGTTGTGATCTGGAATCCCATGATGATCGATATTTCTGATTAGTCAAGATGGCGAACGTCTTCTTACTTGGGTCCAAGAGAGGACCAGAGCGTAGTTACAGAGTTCCTGTCGTTGCGTTGAGCTGAGACGTGCTCTAGGGTAGGACAGCTGACAGCATAAAGAAGGCTGAGAATTATTCTTTCCTTAGCTCTGGGACAGAGGGAATGAAGTATCCGTAGATCGGACCTGTAACTTGAACACAGGAGGAATATTCTATCTCAAAAGGCACGGGGGAAGAGTGCAAGACGGAAGGACATGGACGTAGCACTTGCCCAACAACACAACACCACAGCGGAGGAGATCGTTGCAGGTGCGATGCGTGTTGGGGGACTGGAGGTTTATTTCGTGGGCCCTCAGCAGTCTTGCAGGACCTGGTGGATGCTGGCGGGGGTGTGTAACAGGGCCTCTGCCAATCAGGTGTGCTCCGAGACTTGCTCGCTGAGCTCGATATCAAGAGTGAGGCGGACCAAGTGCTGGCAGTCCAGCGGCTCGGGGGTGTGCTTCGTGACTGCTCTGCATGAGACGCGGTGCTTACTTGAGCAAGCGCTGGGTGGCACCTTGTAAGGTAGCACAGGCACCTGCTGAACAGGCGCCCAGGGATTGCCCCTCAGGCATTGCGACTGCTAATCGGGCGCGCACTGGGATTGGTCGCCAGGCTTACCAAAGCAAGAGCTGCCAGTGGCTCGTCGCGGCAACACCGCGGTGTCACGTGGCCTCGGTCGGTCGGCCCACTTGCCTGACATACCAGGCAGACAGCAAATTCCACAGTTTGTCCGAGGATGCAAGCTCCGGATTGTGACCTCACACCACTAATTACTTCGCCGTCATAACCTCTCGAACCTGCAACAACCGCAAACTCTCCCCTCATTGCGCTTCTCAATCATGTTCGGTGCCCGTCAGTTCGCCCGCAGCGCCCCGCGCTTTGCTGCCCAGCTTCGCGCCCCCGCCCAGCGCCGCCTCCTCACCACCGGCGAGAACGAGTTCGTCAAGGAGCGTCAGCACATCAAGGAACACGCCAAGGGCACCACTGGTTCGTCGATGACCCGGACCTGACCAATTGGGCCGGAATAAGCTAACAGATGGCAGAGCTGTGGAAGAAGATCTCCATCTAGTACGTATCCTGTCAATTGGACTCAATTGACCTCCCCGTCGACATCTTGAGTGAATTTGACCCCACCCATGCCATCGGGTCCGACCGGCTCGAAATCTGTCGATAATCTTAGAGGTCACCCTGGTCATACCGTGTGCGAGTCGAGAGTTGGAGAGCAGCCATCGTGCCCCAAGATGTCGTGGTTCATTCTTTCGGTTGGATGGAGGGCTAACCTGGGTTGAAAAGTGCTGTGATCCCCGCCCTCGGCCTCGCTGGCGCCAACGCCTGGTACCTCTGGAACGCTCATTGGGACCACTGGTCTCACCTCCCTCCTCTGGAGGAGCGCACCGAGTACCCCTACCAGAACATCCGTAGCAAGAACTACCAGTGGGGTGGAGGTGACAAGGTGAGTCGCACCGGTCTTGATACTGGATCTTTGTGATATGCTGAGCCTGGCTGACCTTTTGACAACACAGACCCTTTTGTAAGTTGATACCAGCTGGTTCACATTCATTTCCTGCGATCGACGCCTATCGAACGAATGCCAAACGAATGTGGTGATAGACGAAGAGCGTGAGCTAACAAGTTGTAATAGCTGGAACGAGAGCGTCAACTACCACCGCAAGGACAAGGCCTAAACTGCGCCCGGCACAGTTTTGAAGTTGGCTATCACTGACCAGGAGGGCTTTTAGAGAGATACACCTGTACATGTCCCTGGACTGAATTCAATTCCCTTTGTTCCGTATTACTTTGATGCTCGTGCCCTAAATTCGTGTGTCTGCCGCTATGTGATCTGAGGTCGCACTGGAGCCGCAATGCCGTGTGACATGTGTATTAACTCTCAACTGCCCTCATAGAGTTTGGCGGGTTGGCTGGTGTTAGCAGTCAATTAACATTGGCACTTGGGTTGGCTAGTCACCAGTAATCCGGGTGTGTGGATGCGAGAGGTTGGAGCCGTTGCACGCTCCCGAGGAAACTCCGGCTGGGATGTTTTGATTGGAAACTCCTACCTGCGCGCGGTTGCCGGTGCAGAGAAGTCATGATTCCCAATTGTCTTTTTTAATAATTAATGCTGCTTTTCTTCCAGTGGTTTGTGCAGTGGCGGTACGTGACGAGAGCACCTCATTTAGTTGTACGCAGAAGAAACTGACGTGCGCTGATTTCTCAGTTTCATTCACCCCCGGCATCTTGGAGTTACCACACAACCCTGGCATCATGAGCGAGCTGGACCTCGAGTTGAGATTGACGTTGCAGTAGCGTTCTTCTTACGACATCAGATACTCTCTTTGATCTGCGTGGGATTCCCAGATCAACTCATCCGGGTCGTCTTCCCTTCACTTGACTCCCCGCACTCAACACACCATCTCGCACATAGCGGGCGAGATCCCACGATTGAGGATACGTCTGAGACTTGTTCTTCCTTTCCTTTGACATTTATTTTGGCGCTCCTCGCCTTCCGTCGTTTTCCGCGCCCTATCGCGCGCTCAGTGGGCAAGATTTGTTGATCTGGCACATCCACGCACAGGTAGAGTGCCTTTCATCCCAGACCCTGGTCAAGACTGGTCGCTGATATCCTAGGCCATAGTCAACCATGGCGAAGTACTTGACGCCGGCCAAGCTCGGGCTCTTGGTCCTTATCGAGCTCTATCTCGAGGGCGCTATCCCCAGCGATGCCATTCTGCCCGTCTTATCCTTCATCACCTCCCATCTCATGGATCGGAGCGACGCGACTCCGGGCACTAGCGCAGACCAGTCGTCACGATGGGAGCGAGCGGAAAAGACGGTGAGCCTCGTCATTAGCATCAAAGACTTTGAGAAGCTGCTGGGCAGCTATCCGTTTCTTATGGGCATGCCTGGCAAGAAGCTCTGGGACCAGTTCCTCGGCCGGTTGTGGGCCCTCAACTCACTCGATGCGCTGCACGTCTTCCTCGATACCTTGCCTAGGATGCTCGCCATGACGAAGCGGGAGCTCCAACGCCAGGGTGAAAATGGGTCGCCAGAACCCGATGAAGGAAGCAAAACCGTCAAGTTGTCGCGCAACTCGCTCTTCGGTGCGACCATTCGAAGAGCCAGGGTTGAGTATAGCCGGCTCAAGTGGCATGATACGACACAGCTCTGGCAAGATTTTGTCCGGTACCGACAGCCCACAGCGCACTACATGCGGCGAAAGGCGCCTTCGAGTTTTGGCCGGCTTAGTTTCGATTGCGTTTTGGAAGAAGGCGAAAACGAATCATGGGAGACTGGGCAGGCGATGACACTGGCATCCGTAGCATATGGCGACATGCTCTCGGGCGACCACACAGGTTCACTGCCGGTGAGCAGTGATGATATTGAAGTGCTGCTTGAATTCCAGGTTCAGCAGATGCAAAGTAAGTTGGTTCATTCGTTGGTCACCTGTTTTGACGTTAGCTTTCGACCTGTGGTTTCCCTTTTTGATTCCTTGAAGAAAGCCTTGGCTTGCTCAGAGCGTATGATTTGTTGATCGATGAATTGCTTGCGACATATGAGACTCTAATTCAGAGATTTGTTGTCTGCGCAGGAGATTCATACACTGAGAGGGTATTCCGAATGAGCGGGATGGAGATTCGTTACCGAAAGATGTGCTAACCGCTGGCTTTTAGAATATGGAAGTCGTGTGCCATCAGAGATTCGAGACCAATTTCTCGACCTCCTGAACGACAGTTGTACCGTTCCTAGTCTCACACACTATGTCAAGTAGGTTGCGGGAACAGCTATACTATGCCGGCATCGAGAGTTGGTTCTAATCTGGCTTTGTGTGTAGTTTCCTCGAGTCCTGGCGAGCAGGTGACTATCCCTCAGCTTTTGATCTTCTCCATCGATACTTTGATTATACGGCGCAAACCCGAGACCGGTTCTTCTATCAGTACGCCCTGATGAACCTGGCTGTCCTGCAGGCAGATTTCGGCTGCTTCAAAGACGCCGTGACCGCGATGCTCGAGACTGTCTCGACGGCAAGAGAAAACAAAGACATGGCATGCCTCAATTTTGCGCTCAACTGGCTGTTCCACTTCGGACGCTCACATCCCGACCTCGTGCGCAACCTCGAGTCAAAGAGCATGATTGGGACTGGGAAGGAGACCCTGGCCTTTCTTCGTGTCAAGGCAAAGGAGGCTGGGATGTGGACTCTCTGGAGCTCGGTCCTTCTGAGCGAAGCCAAGCTGTGCATGATCAACGGGGAGAGCATCGCGACGGCAATGGAGTGCATGGTGCGCAGTTCTCATGTGATAGTATCGAGAAACATGCGGATCATGTTTGGGTCACAGCTGTCGATTTCCAGCTGCTTCTGGGACCGACTAGGCCTGACGTATCTGGCGACGACAGCGTGCCAGGTCTTTGTTCGCGGTCATGCGCCCTTTGGGGTGTTTGAGGACGAGCTAAAGCTCACATGCCGGCTTGCGGTCGCACTGGCCAACAAAGGGGAGTACGACGAGGGGCTGAAGCTGATGGACTCGCTCGACAGCCACTCTCTGCGAGCGTGGAAAGCAATGCAACACTGGCGCCGGTGCATGGGCATCATCAAGGGGCAGCGCGATCTGCACCGCAACGACCTTGAGGGTGCCGAGCACATTCTGGACCAGCTGGGGCAGTCGCCGGACGAGGACCTGGAGGAAGATGCGGCGTGGATGATTGAGATGATGCACGTTGATCTACTGGTGCGGAAGGGTGAGCTCCAAGAAGCTTTTGAGCGGGTTGACGCCACCATGGCCCGGCTGCACAAGCGGGACTGCGACAAGGCGCTGCGGATCAGACTTATGCTTTGCAAGGTGTCGCTGCTGGACAAATGCGGGCGGCCACAGCGCGGATTCTCCATGGCCATGCAGGCGACGTCTTACGCTCTGCGGGCTCGGCTGATGCCGTTACTTTGGCAGTCAATGGGGGCAGTCGCCAACATGCTAGTGTCGCTGGGTGAGTTTGGAGCCGCGTCAAAGTTACTGAGGGTGGCCATCCCGCGAGCGCTCGAGTGCGAGCTGTTTGAGATATCTGGGCAGCTGTACTCGACCCTCGGCGATGCCTACATGGGACTGGCAGGCGGTTCGAAGCCTGAGTCGAAGCAGAGGAAAGAGTACATGACAAGGGCAATGTGGGCCGTCTCGGAGTCGTTCGACCACTACTCCAAACTTGAAGATGTCATGCGGCAACGAGAGATGACGGCGAAGAAGGCCGTGATCATGCAGCTCTCCGGGGACATGACCTTGGCGGCAGGATACGCTGCTACATATGTGTCCTTGCAAAAAAAGGGGGAAGGCATCAAGGCTGCCGGAGAGGGTGTGAAGGTTGCAGCTGAATAAAGATGCGCTTGCCGGTTCTTTGTCTGAGCTGGAGGGAGGTCCATCGTCTCCCGAACAGATGGAGGGCAGGTGACGTCGGAGCAGAGCAGGAGCCAGTGCATGGTACATATGATATTTTAGATTCACAGGACGGACGGTTTTCATAGCGCATGGCGGGGTCTAATGTATGATACCTAGGTAGTTATTCTTATGATAGACGTGTTTACGACGGTGCT